ATAAAAATTCATTTGCGGTGGGCACATGGCTCATGACTGTAATCCTACCACTCTGGGAGGGCAGAGTGAGTGGACTGCTTGAGCTTAGGAGTTCAAGACCAGCCTGAGCAAGAGTGTTTAATACTAAAAATAGAAAAACCATCTGGGCATGGTTGTGTGTGCCTGTAGTCCCGACTACTCAGGAGGCTGAGGCAAAAGGATCACTTGAGCCCAAGAGTTTAAGGTTGCTGTGAGCTATGGTGATGCCACTGCACTATATCCAGGGTGTCAGAATGAGACTCTGTCTCAAAAAAAAAAAACGTGCCATTAAAAAAAAGAAAAAAGTTCATTTGGACATTACAGGAAAGACAGTTGAAAGTGGATGCTTTCTTGCCAAAGAATAGCTACAAAAAAAGGGGATTTTAAAGATTTATATAATACACATATGGGTGCCAAGATGTTTCCAAATTTCATAAATCTGTTAGCTTTCCCTTCCTCTCCAAATTCTTATGACCAAGAATTCTGTTGCAAAGCAGCTGGGCATAAGTTCTTTTCGAAATCACGAATAATTATACAATACCTATACTAATATCAGCTACCATTTACTTCTAGTTTCTAATGAAATCTGTTATAAACAAAGTTTACATACCGGATTTTTGTTATTGGAATATGGATCTCTTTCTGCATGATCTCATATAATTGTTTGTTTCTAGTAAAAAAAAACAAAAACTATTTAGAATAAATTTATATCCTAATAATTCTCTTTTATTTACTTAACATTTATAAAACATGCAAAGAAAATATTAAAGAAAAATATTGTGCTAAATGAAAGTCATCTAACAGATGCCCAAATAAGACATATCATAAATAACATTTAATAGAATTCAACAAACACACAAATGATCATTTAGTAATCACAGAAATTTTTAAACATCGCAAACATATATTCATGATGGCTAAATACTTAACTTTTTTATCTTTTTATCTTTTTCTTTTTTTATTCTACGGACTCAGGCCCTCACAAGGTGACTCTGTCTTCTTTTTCTTTTTTCTTTCTTTCTTGTTTTTGGAGACAGAGTCTTACTTTATTGCCCTCAGTAGAGTGCCATGGTGTCACAGCTCAC